AAAGTCCAATTCTCACATTTATATTTATATTATATTAATATTTGGCATGTTTGCTTGATGAACCAGTTATCAAAACAGTTCCTGATGAATGTCCGTTGACTGTTTTGCTGACTAGTTTAGTCTGTAGAAGTGCATCACAATGTGAGTTAAATGGAAAATGAGTCTGTAAAATAATGACCAAATAAACCTGAGGAAAACTGTGTGCACTGCAGTGAAAATAAAATATGTTCATCTGATGTGTATGAAGCAGCATAAAACAGAAACACTCGGATAAAGCAGAGGAACCTCAAATTTGTACTTAAGTAAATGTAGATGAGTTTCAGCAAATGGGAGACACGGCATCGTCCTGTGTCCAAAGTAAGAAAGTTTCAAACCCTACTGAATTTACTGACTATCCATTTGTACTTTAAGTTCACGTTTGAATGCAGGATTTTAAGTTACACTGAAGTATTTCTACTGTAAATACAGGAGCTCACTTCCTTCTCTACTGTCTGCGACACATCACTGTCATCTGACCTGAAAAGTGAAACTGAAATGACACTTACCATGGTGTTTGGGGCACTCTGCAAAAGAGAACAGGTCACAGTGAGTCATCAGGATTTACTGTTTCAGTCAGGACAAGTTACAGGTGAAGATGAAGGAGAGCTTCAGGTGTCAGTACAACAATGAAACCCCTGTCAAAAGGGCTGAGACGATTCCACGAGCAACTCCGTTACTAACAATTATCAACACAAAATCTCTGCATCGAAGCTTTGTTTAACCCATATAATGTATATACGCACAGGCCATTACTACGGCTGCACAACGTGCACAGTGCAAAATGGACAAAGAGAGAAAGTGTTGTGAAGTACGGTGGACGTCTGCAAAAATGTATTAAATGAATTAAAATAACGTGACAATAATGACCAGTGACAGGAGACTGTAGGAAAAACAATCCAGCAAAACAACATCGAGCATAAACGCTCTGAAATCACACGGGCGGCAAAAGAGACGCTGTGGAAATCTGACATGTTCTTTTTGAGCAGGAAGAACTGAACTACAGATCTCTGCAGTGTATATTCAGTCTAATGTCTAAATGGTAAAATGTCTTGCAGTGCACACATGTGCACGTGCCTACCGCCTTCACAGTGACGCATAAAATCCCCCAGAAAAATAAAAAAACAGGTGGTGTGGTTTTTTTAAACTCAGGATACGGCACTAGCTGTTCTTTTTATGAGATGAGTCTTATTTTCTCTTTTGTATATTGACTATTGCTCTTTAATAAAGCAAAGCTGTTTCTTATCCGATTACTTGATTAACTGGTAGAATACTTCATTTGTAAAACTGACAGCTGCAGCCCTAACTGCTGCTTCACAAACCAGTGTTCTAGAGGAATGTTATTACTTCTTCTTCTTCTTCTTCCTATTATTAGTGTCTGAAACCAAACCCTATCAGGAGCTTCTCACCGCTCGCCTTCATTTCCATGGAATCTCCTCCAAACTCCAGCATCGGCTTCACACCCTCCTTCAGGTTATGGCACAAAGCAAAGACGATTACTTGGATGCAGAGCAGGCAGTAGGATTCAAAAGGGGGGAGGGGGCCACAGTGAGGAAGGGCCTGCTGGCTGCCTCTGGTCCAGAGATCTTCTTGGTCATTGTCCATATCAATCAGCTTGGTGGCGCTCACTGCACCTAAATCAGATATGTTGAAACAGTCGAAATCCATCCTGAGACATAGAGGACAAGAGGAGAGAAGAGGACGGTCATTTGAAGGTATCTGTACAGTCTGTGACTTGGGTTGAGATATTATGACACTGAACACACACCTACTGGGTGAACTACAGTGTTTTACCTCATACATGAGTTTCTCCTGCTTATTGACAGTAACTGTTGTTTGTGTTTCACCCTGACCACACACGGGAGCAGGCTGGTCTAACCAAGCTGTTCTGGGGTTCTGACCTCTTCACACTGTTTACCCTTCTCCATGACCTTTGGGTGAACAACTTCCTCCTCTGCCTCGGGTCCATGTGGACCAAATGTGAATGTTTCCTCTGGTGCACTTAATGAAGTGTCTTCACCACAGAGCACTGTCTCGGCCGAGAAATGGCACCCACCAAAACTTTCCATTGCCAAACCAGGGCCCAGCAGTGGCAACGTGTCGCCATGTTGGACTGAAGGCCACTAACGTGTCTATAAAAACTATGTAATGCCAGTAAAACTAAATTCTCTCTATTCTATTGTCATACATTAAATGAACAATATGATAAATATGCATAAAAGTAGAACTATTATCATCATTGAATTATATTCTAAACACAAGATAATAATAATAATAATCAATTTGCTTATATATTAGATTTATGAAGGTGTGGGCACTGTATTCCATCTCATTCTGCCATGAAACATGGTGAAGGGTCGGTCAGTCTCCCCCAGGTTGTGCTAAGTGCAAAGGGAGGACACGATGAAGACTGTAGAAGCTGATTTGTTCTGAAATTGTGTGTATTTTAAGACTGTACATATTTCCTCTACTTTCTGGTTATACTTAAAGAGACAACCTTGCTAAAACTGGCAGCCTAACACTTCTGCACACCACCATCTATGTATATACAGTTTGTTTAAGCGTCTTTCTGATTTTTCTAACAGCATTTTCTATTTGTGATATTTACTCAGCATAAAGGCTTCCACATTTGTTGGCCTCACTGAGAATCACCACCTGAGGCAGTAGACTGTTATGCATTTCTTTGTTAATTGATGTAACCTGTAGGCTACGTCTCTGTTTAAATGGAAAACTGGTAAAGGTAATGGTAAAAGAAGTGGTTTTATCCTCTTCCTCTCACAAAGTGTTTATTAGTTCTAAAAAAGGGGAACGTTCAGGCTAAAGTCAGACTCTGCAGTTGCTGTTTCTGACTGGTTTTGGACCAGTTTATTATTCAGACAGGTGCTGCTGGGTCAGTCTAACCATGAGCAGCCTGGTTGCACTGTAAACTACCAAATCAAAATCAAATCAAATCAAATTTTATTTGTATAGCGCCAAATCACAACAAAAGTCATCTCAGGACACTTTACAAAGTAAGGTCTAGACCTTACTGTTATCAATATTATTACATAGGGAAAACCCAACAAATCCCCCTTGAGCAAGCACTTGGCGACAGTGGGGAGGAAAAACTCCCTTTAACGGAAGAAACCTCCGACAGACCCCGGCTCTTGGTGGGCGGCCTTCTGCCTCGACCGGTTGGGGTTAGTGGATAGAGGAGAGACAGTCCATGCCTGTTGGTATCCAACCACTTTTTGAACCTTCGACTCAGCCGAGGACAGCGCTTCCTGCAGCGCTCAGCAAAACAGTGAAGGGGGGGGAGGGGGAGGGACACGGGACGTCACGTAAACACGGAGCGAGAGCTGCACCGAGAGCTGCCGCGCGCCGCTTTTCAAAGTGGCCACTTATTCTCATTCATTCCAACGCTTTAGGTGGTTTGGGTGTAAATGAATCGTATTTATAAACAGACTGTTAATGTGAAAAGTAGCTGCGAAGTCAAATAAATAAATAAATAAAAAAAAGTTCAATACAGTGAAATAAAGTGGCAATAGATAAACTGAGGATGTTTAGGAGTAGCCGGCTCCAAGTTAGGCTTCTCTAGAACTCAGACTATACAGGCTAATTCTTATAGGCTGCTAATCTGTATTTTATAGACAAATAACTAAAAACATCAACACGACAGAGACACATCCAATCAGTGAAGGGCGCACAATTACTCACATTCCCTCAGGAAGGACTGAAACACCACCGATGGGGATAAATATCTCCGACTCAACACCAGTCGGGCAGAACTGATGAAGCCTCTTGGATGAGAGGTGAAACGTCTTCGACCTAAAAACCCAGTCTAGTTGATTTTTCGAAGAGTTTTTTTGACGTTCCGGGAAATGACGTCTTAAAAGGAGAGACGCAGCAGTGTCCGATACCGGCTCTGAGTGACAGACGGGTGGGCTGTGGAGACTGCAGCCTTAAAAACCACAGACAGCGTGTGTGTCTTAACCTGTGATTTACTGTAGATTAAGTTCGGATCACATTTTATGAGCAAACCAAATCGTTCCAGATGCCTTGTAGCATACCCCCCCCCCGAGCAAGGATGACACTTTACTGGTGATTTTGGTGTTTTATTCCTTCGTTAACTTCATAAGCCTTATGTACACCGTCCTCGACCGTAAGAGCTGAAAACAAACTAACTTTACTTCGATAAGCATTTACCTACAATGAACGCATGTATCATTAACTACATCGACATACAATACACATCAACAAAGATTCATACACATCGCTAAACGCAGCAAACATACCTTGTGCCTCTTTCAGAGGGGCTGCCAAGTATGAAACTAACTAAGCTAATTTCCAAGGGTACTCCGTATCAATCAACTTCGTACAGCTACACCACCCGAAACGCTACACAGGAAGTGTGCATTCAAAACAAAAGCGCATGGCTTAAAACCGGAAGTCAACAGCTTCATTACAAAACAAAAGCATCCACGCCATGAACTAAACCATGCCCCGGCGAATGCACTCTGGGTTATTTACATGCCTCACTAAGCTTTTCCGGCCGCCGTATGTGAGGCTGCTGGTATTTTTGGTCCCAACTCTAACACCTTCCAGCATCTAAAATCCGAGTGGTTCAGACCTGTAGCAGAGATGCAAACCAAACAAACTACGAGCCGCATTTCCTCATTAGACACTGGTCAGCAGGTGTCCCAGACCATTACCGTGGTCTTAGCTCAGTAGACACTGTGGTTAGATGCTGCGAATTACAGATACAACTGAAAATCATAACCCTGGCCACAACTGATATGAGAAAGTCATAACCAATGTCAGTCATCAGAGGCTCTCGCTCTTAGACGTCCTCCTACAGAAAGTGCAGCAAGCACATGCTCTGATTGTGTGGATGTTGAGTAATTTGTTTCATGCAGAAATTCTGAGGTGGTGCTTTTACTGTCAGTGCAAGAAAGAGAATTAAATGTGCTCATATTAAAGATGGAGTTTTATTGCATATCCACATATTAAAACAAAAAGATTCACTATATTAACATTATTATTATATGAGAAGGAGCAACATCTCACATTTTAAATAACTCAGAGACAGCACAAACTTGCTTGGGCCACACACATCATGTGTGGTTAGGGTTACTCTGCCTCTGTTGCTTTGAGGTCTGATAAAAGAAGAATGAGGTTTCTGCTTCACTACTGAAGAATGAAGCACCAACAAAAAGTCATTTAAAAACTGGGTTTGTGTGACGGACCAGGACCCGACCGCTGCCCCGGTGACTCACACCTTCATCAGCAACATGCTCCCAACACACGGCTGTGTCCACACACTCCATGGTCCAGATACCCCACCCTGCACAGGGTCCTCCATCAGTCGGCCTTCAGGGCGTAGAGCACGTCGTCCTGGCTGACGTTGAGGCGGATGCGCTGCATGACTCCCAGGTGGCTGGGCTCCAGCAGCAGCAGCCTGCAGGCTCCCAGACGCTGACACACGGCTAGTCCCTCCGACACACTGATGGGCTTCAGACCCTCCACCCGACACAGAGCCTGGTGCTGCACGAACACCTGGGAGAGCAGACAGGGCATACAGGACCAGGGTCAGGATCTGGGCCAGGCTGCAGATCAGTGTTGCTCACTTTGTGATGGAGAGATACACGTTCACTCAGGGTTTACAAAGTCGTGATATCACACAGAAGGCAACATAACGCCCGTTTAATGCCTGAAAAGAAGAAGCTGCAGTCAGCAGCTGGTTAGCTTAGCTTAGCATAAAGACCGGAAACAAAGAGGCTCCTATTTATTTTCATTCTCTGCTGCTTCCTGCTCCCACACCGAATTTCAGGAGGAAATATTTTAGTTTTTCTCATTTGTCCTAAAAGCAGAGGTCAGAATTTAGCTCTGTGAAAATAAAGTTTTAATCTTCACACTTAGCTGTTCTGACTCTTCTCCGTGTGTTTATTTGAACTTCACCTGCTGGAAAGTGGCCTCCTCCAATCCCAGCCGCCGGAACTCAGCAATGACGGCCCTGAGGAAGAGCTGCTCCTGCACTGACGCACACCTGAAACACACGTCGGTCACCTCATCTCGTCACTGCTGCTAGCACACAGTGTTTCAATAAAACGAACCTACTCACTTGATGGCCATGATGTAGGACGAGGAAAACATCTCATTCAGCGCCTCCATCACGTGACTCATCCCCACCAATCCTGTGGCAGAGTGCTCGCAGATTTCCGTGGCTCTGCGACAGATGTCCAAGCATCGGCGAGCGTCTCCCGACAGAGCGGCCACCTGCCCGAAGAGAGAGACACAAATCTCTGAATGAAGCTCTCACACAGCTGTGGACGAGCTCGGCTCAGGGGCCGTCCTGCTCGCCTACCTTCCTGGACACCAGCTGCAGGGCGTCCTCCTCGAAGGCCTTCGCCTTGTTCAACCTCGACATGATGATCTGCTGCAGCTGTTTGAAGCTGTACGGCTGGAACGACATCCGGGTCAGACCCTGTAGAGAGCCGCACAGAGCACACAACTCAGCGGCATTTAATTATTTATGACCCATCAGACAGAAGATCGTCTAAATCTTAAACACACGAACAAACATTTTCCATATACTAGTGATATATTACAGATGAATCAGGTTTTAGGTTAAAGGCATTAAATAGCCTCCGGCAGCAGAATGCAGTACGTCTCCTGACGGCACCGATCTCACAGAAACACTTCATCACTAACAAATGTGAGGCTGTTTCCGCCCTTTGAGAGCTTCCACCCTGAAGAAAGTCTTTTAAAGACTTGACCTGTGGGTTGACTGTTCTCTCTGGGGGTCCAGTTTGACTCAGGTTGTCATCTGTTTCAACAGGCAGCATGTTATCCAATGTTACTGCTCAATACACACCACGTACACTATGAAACAGTATTCCTACACCACAGTTTGTGAGTAAATCATAGTACAAACAGAGGTAAAAACATTAATTACCAATTCATAATAAAAGAAAATCCATGACAAGACAGTTTCCAGGGTCATAGTAACAGTATTTAGGTCTTTTTCTTTAAATATATGAAAACAATCAGTAGATTAACTGATTAATCAACAGTAAAGTGACTTTTTTTTGTTAAAACTGCCAAAGCTTTAGATTCTCAAATGTGAATCTGCTGCTTCTCCTCTGTGCTAAAAGAAGTTACTGTTGATTTTGTGGCAAAACGTCTGAAGACGTCATCTTTGGTTTTAGGAAAACGTGATGGTCTTTTCACCTTTTTCTGAAGTTTAAGGATCAAACAATGACTCGGTTAATCAAGACAATCATCGGCAGATTAAACAGTAATGAAAATAAGGGTCAGCAGGCAGAGGAGGCATAAGGTTAATCTCCAGTCAGCTGCATGTACTATCCACAAAAGTGAAAGTAGGAAGTGGTTGGGTCTGATACTCAAACCGAGTCAGAGGATGAATCACTCCCTCTTGTTGTGTGAAACCTGTGAACCCCACACTGAACAGCTGTTCTCCCACTGTGCCGAACATCCACCCTCCTCACCAGTCTGCTGGCCACTCTGTTGATCATGATCCTCTCGGGCAGGTCCATAGTGTTGGCGATGGTCAGCACCACCAGGCGGGCGTGACGCCGCGTGGGCCAGTCGAACAGGTTGTACATCACGTTCTGCTTCCTGGTCCACAGCAGGTCCAGCTACAGAGGCCAAACACAAACCCCAGACACTCAGTTAGTCTCCTACAGAGGAAACAGGTAGACGTACAGAAGGCGGCTCCGCTGACATGTATTTGTACTACATGAAGGGGCGTTTCCCATCGCGCCACCTGTTTAGTGCTGTGGATGGTCGAACGCATCCCACGGCTCCATATTTTTGCCATTGTGATTGTCCGCACCGTCAGCGGTGGAAGAAGTACTGAGATAGTTTACTTAAGTAAAAGTCCAAAAGTATTCACATAAAATATACTTAAATGAGTCAAACTGGATCTATCTACAATGTTACAGCGGTGAATTCTCATCTTAGACGTGACCCAAAGCTAAAAAAAAGAGGTGTTCGTATGTTCTAGTATTTCTATGCAGAAGTAACTCAGTTTATACACGTCTAAAACTCTTGCTCACAAGACTTTTTTCTACCAAAATAAAGTATTACGTGATATTTTAAGGATCTCTTTGAATGATCATAACCTCCAGGCCACTGTGCATTCATGTGAGCTTGCCTGACATCTGCCGTTTTCCAGCCTTACTCAGTTTTACTCCTGTGAAGGAAGTTATCACCGTGTCCAAAACAAATGATCCTAAATGTGAGACGGAGCTCTTACTTCGTCCACCAGCAGCACAGTGGTCTCCTTCCTGGGCGCAGGGTTGTCAAACCTCTTCTCCAGCAGAGCGGCGGCGTGGTCGGCTGTGGCCTTCTGACCAGTCAGCTTCTGCAGAGACGACACGGTCAGTCAGTGCACGCCCTGTTCAGTTCAGCCACTCAACTGACTCTTGTTTTAACAAAACAGCGCAGCACTGATCTAAGTCACACAACTTAAGACATGCTTCATGTTACAGAGCAGTTTGGTCCGACACAGTAACAGACTGATCAATGCAGACGTAAAGTTCTAACGTTTTTAATGAGAAGGAACAGTTAGTGTTAAACTGAAATGTTCTAAGCAAATGTCATTTTTCAAATACATACACACTTACAGATCATCTTTCAAAATAAAAAAGCCTCGGTGTGACAGGTTACTGCAGGAAAAACAGCGACAGATTTCAGTAATGCAGACACACTGGGGAACAGCAACGTGTCACAGTAACAAACATCCTCCCTGACGTGTCTGATGGATCTTAGCTCGATAAAACTCAGAAACTGTGACTTTAACAATCTTTCAAGTTCAACCTGCTTCTATAACTTCTCACCTGCAGGACCTGCACATAGGCCTGATGAGGATCTGTCATCTTCATCCCATTGATCTCGATGAAGTGGAAAGGAGGGATCTCGTCCTCGTCGGCCGCGCGCTGCAGGCAGCGCATCACCTCGTGCACTGTAGCCGTCTTCCCTGTGCCCGGCACACCTGAGATATACATACACCTGAAACACAGCGACAAACAGAACAGGTCAGTGTGACATCCAATAGCACGACAGCCTGGATCCTTTCTCCTGAGCTCGTGTTCCTGTTCATAAAGTGTCAAATGTGTGGCAGTTTAGGAGCTGAGCGGTGTTCACACTGGAGCCGGATACGTGGCCTTGACACACACAAACAGGGAGCAGCAACACAACACGGTCAGATCTGACTGAGACATCATCACAGCCGAACATTTCTAGTTCTGACGTTGGTCTCACCCTCCTGTGCCATCGATGATCCTACTCTCCACAAAGCTGTAGATGTCCTGAAACTCCTGCTCCCTGCAGGGCAGAGACTCTGGCACTGAGGACACATGCAGCCTGAGGAAACACACACACACACACACACACACACACACACACACTTTAAGATACAGGTGGTGACTGACTGAACAACAGTCAATCATTAGGAAATACAATCAGGTCAAAAGTAGAAAAATCAACAGCTCTGGTCATGTTTCTTCAGTTTTAAACCAAGGAATCATGCAAGTGGAGCAGAAGTTCCTCATTTGATTTGTCCAACTGTGAGAGCAGCAGCATCAAATCAGCTTTGGCTGAACTCTGGAGCTATTTCTGCATCTTATTCTGAACTCAACATGGAGGATGTGTTAACAGGGGAGATCAGAAGTGAAGCCTTGACTCTGATATAAACCCCAGATCATTCTGGGAGTGATGGGGACTCACCTCTCTCTGGCTTCCTCCAGGACATTTGCTGGTTGTCGGGCCGGCAGCGATCTGCTGGGGATGCTGGGAGTGGCGTGACGGGGGGTCCGTGGCGTGCTGGGTGTGGTCTGCTCAAACAGGAAACAGCCAGATGGTTAAATTAAAAAAGTGCTGGGTGTTTTCTTCACTTTGTTTGGATATCCAACAATAACACAAAAATAAAAATATTAAATGAGACTAAATACAATTTTCAACCAACGAGCAGCACATGAAGGTAAGTAAGTAAAAGACAGACATCGTTCTGGACATTACAACGTTTAAACTGGCCCAGTTTACAACATACTTCGACATGGCACATGACATGGTAGAAAACTCATCACACAGTGAGTTTCTCAAAGCACAACAAGGCTGTACACGTCTAACACTTCATTCTAAAACAAAACAACTTGTTCTCATCAAGATTAAACTAACATCAATGAGAAGAATGTGCACGACTGTAATACAGTATACGACGAAGTTCAGTTGTGTTTATTCAGTGCAAACCTCAGCAGTAAAGGTCGACTACAGTAGCAGCCACAGCTGCCTGGACCGGTTCAGATTCAACAACAGGAGAAAAGAATCAGCTGATATGATCAGATAAAGAGTGACTGGCTCCGCCCTGGTCCAGCTAACAGCTAACCCCACTGACAGTGCTTCAGTTACGATGGTCATTTTCCTTCATCAATCAGGACTTTCACCTTCTTGCTGGGAGTTTTTCGTGGCGTCCTCATCGACGAGCGGGTTTTCCGCTTTGAGCGAGGAGTATGAGACCCCGCTGCAGTGTGCCGCCCCCTCTTCATCACCACTTCCTCCTCACTGTCCAGCCCTGCCTCCTCCTCCTCACTGCTGCTCTGCTGCTCCTTCTTGGAAGGAAGGAACTCATCCTCGTCATCTCCGTCTGAGCTCAGGTCCTGGGTGTCCAGAAGATTCCTGGACAGACAGACATGAAGCACAGTGAAGAGACGACATCTGTCACAGTTTGATGAGTCAACTCAACAACACGTTGGTTACAGGAGTGATTAATAGTTACACATGACAATATGTCGAGCTGAGTATTAATATCCACCATGTTAGTCCGCAGGCTAACAGGAAGCATCTACTTGTGGGCTTGTTCTGTGGTTGATTAATGATTTAGTTTACAAAATGTCAGAAAACAGTGAAACGTGTCCATCACAATCTACCAGAGCTCAGTGTGCTGTTAACTGATTCCTAGTTTTGTTTGAGCAACAGATCGAAATGCCAGTAAATGTTGTTTATGATGCAAAACAGAGAAAAGCTGCAATGATATAAGATATCGATCAGTTATCACATTTACTGCCAATTAACTCTGTCAATCAACTAATTGATTAATTTGAGTATAATTACAGCCCAAAAACTTAGATGAACTTGTAGAACTTTGTACGGTGGCAAAGCAGAAAGCTACTAATACAACATCAGCACATTACAATGGCAGCAGGCAGATGAGGAGCAGATGTGAACACGTTACAACTAAAGCCGACGGTCGTCCTGTCAGACCACAGCAGCTCAGTGACAACTGGACAGTCTTCACACTCACAGCTGTTTCCGGATGCGAGATGACACCAGCTGGGCTGACTTCCTCTTAGAGCCCCTCGGTGTGATGGCAGCCGGCAGCACTGGGGAGTTCTCATCATCCACCTCAGCCCTGTTCACATGCACACATGTACAAAGTCAAGGTGCACTTGTTAAAAGTGGACTCAGTAGCATATTACAGACAAGGTGAACAAAGATAAAAGTAATTTCAGCAAGTTTAACGGTCTGATATCCCTCTAACAAACACCTGAACATGTGGTAGGCGAGTTTAACCCTCCACTGCATCGTAAAGGGCGTCTCAACTATCTTGCTGCTGCCCGGAGGAGCCATAAACAAGGGCACACATCCTTTTATCAACCAACATGCCCTTTTATCAGAAATCAGCTGGTGACTGGACGCCTCAGACGAAGGGTCAGAGGACAGGATATCTCACATACCTCTTCAATCATATCTCATGTGTGCGGGACAAGGAGGCAAGTTAACCCTAACCAACATGGTGCAATAGAGGGCTAAACAAGATGATCATTAGTATATAACTGAGGTCTGTGTGGCTAAAGGTCATACTCACAGCACCCCCAGAGCAGGCTCCTTCAGGGCTTTCACCTCAGTCTTCTGAGAAGGAGTGGTGGCTCTGAAGACACACAGGGTGAGATGTGACATTTCTCTGGTTACACCACTGCTCAGCAACAAGGCCACTTCATCATCCTCATTCTGAAATGGTGTACACATGCTCTCTTCCCCTGTGACACCAGCCACCACTTCCCCCTGATGTGCACTCACATTTCCAAAGCACCACATGCACACAGGTGTGAATTTATTTCTATCTGTTTCTCAACAGGACTTTGTTCCCAGGCACAAACTCCCAGCAGCCTCTGAGCAGCAGGGAGGGAAAATCAAGGAGTGGACACTCAAAAGACGAGAGGTCGCCGCTGTCCACTCCCTCTCCGTTCCCAGGGGAGTATTAGGCCATGTTTACACTGCTGCTTTCAGCGCCCAGGTTGGAATCTGCGCTCTGGTTTTTAGGCGCTGTGTTTGAAACACTTGTGGTTTCTGACTCCCAAACAACACTACTGGGTCATTCTGAGGAGGCAGCAGTATAAACTCAGCCTAACATCAGGGGAGTGTTGCACCCAGCCAACTGGGCTCCTGGGTCGGACTCACGTCTGCCCTCTGAGGGCATAGCTTCTCCCAGGGGTGGCGTTTCTTCTCTTCGGGGTTTTAAACGAGCCCATCAGTAACTCTGCCTCAGTCTCATCACCCTGCTGCGGACTGACAGAGGCACCAGCATGTCCATCTCTGGTTCTAACACATTTCAACATATTTAAGCCAGTTAATCTCTGGTCAAATGGTTTAAACCATTTTCAAACCAGTGTAAAGCAGTTAACCTCTGGGTAAAATAATTTAAAACCAATTTCAAGTATTTGCTGGATTAACCAGTTTCAAACCAGGCTGGATGTTACAGTTAATTATTGACCTTGGAAACAGCAGTTTAACAGGTGAGTGTAGTGTTTTAAGAGAAGTGTCATAACTCTGCACCGACGGCGACGTGAACTCTGACCTGGTGGAGTCGTCTCTGGCCGACGATGGAGGACTGTCCATCTCCGAAGCGGACAGCTTGTTGATGACGAGAGTGGAGGGTGTCACAGGGACGGCGTCCTTAGCGACAGGAGCCCTGTGGGCCCTCCTGATGGGGGTGAGTCTCTCAACGAGGTCCAGGGTGTGAAGGGGGGAGGACGGCGGCCTCTGAACCAACATCGCTTCCTTCTCCAGCTCCTTGTCCAGCAGCTGAAGCAGCATGTCATCGCGGGTCATCTTCTCTGGACCTGAAGGGATGAGGAAATGAAAACCCCGGTTCAGAAACAAAACAGAGCTGAAAGTAAAATGAACTTGTGTTTTTAAGTTTCTATCATTCCTCAAGTAAAACTTGTTTTAAGGAGTTTAAAATATTTAAGACACTTAATGTCTCCTTTAAACCAGTCAAAAGTCCATTAAGACCAGTTAATATTTGTCCCTTTATTGTTTGATATGACAGTACATTTCTTTTCCCCTTTCAACGCTCACAGCTGGGCAGAGGCTTCAGGTCTCTGGTCTGTATAACCACCAGTAAAACTTAACCCAGCCTTTTTAACTCACAGTGTGTTTACTCCAGCTGCTCACTCCGCTAACACCTCATCTTCATCATCATGTTTGGGTCTCTACACCTAAGCTGACACTCCCCATCCATGTCACCTAACACGTCCAGCTTCATCCATCACCTACACTGTAACATTTCGGCGTTCACACCTAAACAGCTACTTCAGTTTTTGTATTTCACTACCTTCCTCTGTTTCACTTTAAAATGTTTCAACTGCAAAATTTCAGCAGCTAATCGTGATCCAGAATCAGAAAAACTAAATTAGTTGACTGAGATTTGTTGTGCCACACCTAAACAACACATACACTCAACTGACAACCTTCACACTCATCTAACTGAAAACATGAATATACAAGTTAAAAGTGAACCCTAACAAAAACAGACAACACAAGAACAAGCACCATTATCAGGAACTTGTTCTTCTGTTGTCCATTTTTAGAAAATGTTGCCTCTCCTAGTTTGTTAACAGATTAAACTCCATCTCAAACCATATTGTAGCATAATGTTAGGTTACTGGTGAGCTGATCTATCTTTAATAAACTCAAATCAATCAGTACTAGTCCCAGGAACCTTTGGTGGTGCTACTGGCTAACAGGCCTACTGACACACAGCCAAGTTTACATGTCTGTAAACGCCTTTCTGAACCACGTCTGCTGTTCAAACACTCACTGCACAGCTCCAGTTTCTTGCGGACCCCAGGCGTCCTGGCTGAAGCGTTCCTCCTCTTGGAGCTGAGACACTTTGAGGCCGACAGTTTGGTGGCAGAGTGCAGGGACTCGGCCTCCATAGCACCGGCCTTCCCTGTGCTCATTGTGGCACCGTTGCACCTCACCTCCCCTGAGGTGGCCCTGCGCATGACGGCGGGGTCCGGTGTGGGCAAAACGTGCCGAGGGGGAGCTCGAGACGCCAGAGCTGCTGCAGGTGGGGAGCAGGGAGGTGAGGGGGGGAGGGAGGGTTTTGGACAAGCAGGAGGGGAAGAAGCCAGAGAAGGTTCAGACTCCATCACCTTAAAGGTCTTGGAGTCCCAGGACAGCTTCACATACAGGGTGTCTTTGTCGTCAGAGTCAGGGAAGGGAGCTGCTCCGACCAGGCGCTTCACCTGAGAGAGAGAGCAGAGGAGCTTAAAGGGTCAGTTCGCTCAAAATGTCTCTCTCTCATTACTTCTAATCATCAATCTCTACATAGATAAGTATGCTTTATTTGCCTATGTTTTGACATGTCTATATCGAGGGCTGGGAGATGAACCAATAACTACCACATCTGCACAACCTCCAGCATCTGGGTTCATACACATCTGGACCAAAAACAAGAAACAAAAACATACAGTGCTGGGAAGATAAACATGAGCAAATGTGAAAGGAGTCATTTGTCTGGAAAAGAAGAGGAATCAGTGGTGAAGACGGGTCTCACGTCATCTGGGATTTGGGAATGGTTCAGTTTTCAAAAGCTGCATAACCAGCAGAAAAATTTGAAGCTGTCCTGTGGCAACAAAGACGGACAACACAACAAAACCTCCAGCATCTGAAAAGGTGACTGCCAGTGCGCAAAAAAGACAAAGGCCACTTCCAAACTGCAGCATCAGCAGCCGAGCTCGCTGACATTAAGCCTCTTAAATAACAGTGATGCGAACCCAGCAGTTGATCCTGTGGCTCTTTTCAGTCATTACCGAGTCTTTGATAGGAACCTGAACAGTAGTTGTCATTTTTTTTAGTGATATTTACATATTTTTATGATTACATGGCACAGACATCTAAACATGACTGCCCTGGTGTGCAACACAACATGCTGACCTTTGTGTGATGGTGATTTATAAGGCTTGTGGAGACACAAGTGATTTATTACACTGGCTGTGGAGAGTCACTGATTCAAAAATAGGTTCTGGTGTAGCCGCCCTCTGCTACCTGCACAGGTCTGAGGATGGACTCGGCGTCGACCTCGTCATCACAGCTGCGACCCTGGTAGTAGAAGATCTCCTGAGGATGAGGCTTCCTGCCCAGCAGCTTCAATTTGAATGGAGGCACTTCAGACACACGAACGAACCACTGGACCACCGCCTTCTTCTGCTTCCCGCTCTCTGAAACACAGTGAGAGACAGGACGCTCAGCTGCAGCCATGATGCATTTGATTGACTGGAAGCTTGGTGAGATGGTCGAGTGACAGACCTGCAGATAAACATTGTGATGACAGTATTATGGAGATTGTTACATCTGTCCACCATTTGTACATGTACATGAGAGTAGTCATTCGTGCATAACCGGTATGTTTTGCAGTCACACCCAATGTGACCTTTGTAAAAATTCATTTGCACCTTAAATAAATTTGGTTGCAAAATGTGACTGATCACTCACGGTCTGGAGCCCTGCATTATTTCAGACCACACTTTTGCTAGCAGTGTAACGACGGTGGAAAACCATGCTAAATAATGCATAAAATAATCAAAATAACTACCACAACACAATTTTGTTCTTAGTTACAAGTTCATGTGAACAGTGAAACAGAAATCAGCATTTTGTAAAAAAGACAAAACAGTCATGTCATCAGGATCCAGTTACAATGAAAACGGATCAACAATAACATTAAATTCTTGCTCAGATGTAGGATCCTTGTCCTTTTCACAAAGTGTCAGGGGGTCTGCTCCTCTCAGACTGCGACTCACCGTCACCAAACAGCCTGACAACTCTGGCCACGTATGGGTTGTCGTCATCCTCCCCCTCGATGAGGATGTGCTGGCCTGTGGTAATGATGGTGGCCCTGGCGAGACCCTCCACACTGATAGCCAAGGAGCTGAGACACAAAAAGGAAAAAAATTCACAATGAACCCCAATAAACATACCGGTGCTAACTTGTAAAGCCTTGCATGTAAATAATTCTACACAGTTTGTTAGTTTATCAGCGGGAGGTTGAAAGTGTATGGTCTAGAGAATCAGTGCAGTGTAAAAATGTTGAGTGCAGAGATATAGTGCCACAAATACCTATTCAAAAATAAAACTAAAGGCAATACAAATGACCAAAATGCTTATCATTTTCTAACTGATTATTTGGATTTGTAATCGAAACTTTGTGTTCACTGACAACTCTTGGTATTTTTTTGTGTTCTTCTGTGTTGATTTGTGTCTCTGTTGCTGTTTTGCAACATTCTGCATCTCACCCTGGTAACTTTGTGTCTCTGCTGGTGCTTATCTGACTGTAATCACAGAAGGAAGTATTAAACAGTCCCTTCAAACAGAGGCAGAAGGAGCAGTGAGCCCTGGCCCTGTGCACAGTAGGTTCACCACTAAAAGAGTATTTTAACTGGGGATGGATGTGAATGATCAGTGCAAAAGGAGATTAAGAAATTGCGACTTTTAAGTAGTTAAATTAAACCAACAAACAGACAAACATACAAATAAGGTGAGGCAGGCTCATTTATTTATCATCTGTCTAAACTGGGCGATTAAGTTTTGCGCAAAAGTCACAACACAAAAAGGTATGAATAGGATGTAAATAAAGTGCAACATTATAATTGCTATATTACAATAACTTAAAGCAGAATGATACAAATTAAATTTAGGAAGAATTATTACATTGCAGCTACAAAGCATAGCAGGAAGATTTCTGGTAACAAGTCACACTAAACAAAAAATAAATTAATAATTTAGCAGAGGAAGTGAGTGACATATAAAAGCCCTGTCCTCCAAAAGACAAACTCTCAGTACTCACCTGTATTCATAGGTTTTTAGCTTCCTATTGAAACTCAGAGGCTCTCCACGCCATTTGTAAACTCGTCTGACTCTCTGTCTGGTGAAATATGTCATCGTGCTTCCCCTGTCTGCTGCCAAACAACTCTAATAAAGACTAAAACGACACTTGTTCGGGATTAAACTCGAGCTGCGCTATTTATCTGCTGTAATTCAAAACAAGGCTCGAAAAACATTACTTACAGAAACAAACTCAAAACCGCCACCTATAACATTTCGCGCGAAAATTTCGTAGTTTCCGTTTTCTTCTTCTTCGTTGCTTCTAACGATGATTGGCAACCAGCGCCTCAGGTGCATTACTGCTGTTCGGAGGGTACAGCATATATTAAATGATTTTCCCAACACCTCCCAGAGGTTTTAGACTCATATGCAGAACAGAGGAATATATATGTCTTTGACTGACTCGACTGGACAAAAGAATGAAAGGAATTTCTCACGATTGAAAAGCGACGGTTTTATTCTGAAGAAATTGAACCGGAAGTATTATCATTTCTGCTGGCGGGTCGCAGTCCTTAGCTTTTGTGTCCATGCTAAAGAAGAAATAACTTAATTCTACTTCGATGGCAAACAGAACAGTTAAAGATGCTAACAGTATACACGGGACTAACCCGCAGTATCTGGTGGAGAAAATCACCCGGACTCGAATCTACGAGTCTAAATACTGGAAAGAAGAGTGTTTCGGTCTCACTGGTTAGTAGCGTGTTAGCAAGCGAGCTAACGTTAGCTTCCTGTCGGCTAATGTTGGCCGATGCGTCCCCTTTTTTAAAGTGACTTTAGAAAATTATTAAGCAAACTTTACCAAACATTAAGTACCCCATATGTTATTTCATTAGTTATCATGTAACGTTATCAAAGAAGACAAACTAGTTTTCTGTTGACATGTGCAATGGTTTCTAACGTCACTCGAAATAAAATGACTAGTAAAGCTAGTTAAGTACGTTACCACAGCTCAAAGTGAACTCTCCTATTTATTTTGTTTGCCTAGAGGCTGGGAACCCAAGACATTCAGTTTGCAATAGTTGGAGACAAATTATTGTTGCTAACTTGAGTTTATTATTTTCGTCTTCAACTAAGCAGCTGGGATTGACTGGGGAAAAGCAGCAAATCTTAGTAGACAAACCGGAACTGTCGAATGTTTGATAGTTTTGCCAACCTAAAGTTTGTTTTAAATAATCCATCACGTTCAAAATGAGCTCTGCTGCAAATGATTCGTTTCATTTCAGTTATTTTCTAGATTAATCAGTCAGTTTCAGTTTGTTTTATTTCACAAACTCTGTGTCAACATTTTGTGTTTGGCCCTTTACTGTTTGACAGTGAAGGTGATGTGTGTGCAATGTTGTCACCCACAGCTGAGCTGGTTGTTGACAAAGCCATGGAACTGAAATACGTTGGAGGTGTTTACGGCGGGAACATCAAGCCCACTCCCTTCCTCTGCCTCACGCTGAAGATGCTGCAGATTCAGCCTGAGAAAGACATCATTGTTGAGTTCATAAAAAATGAAGATTTCAAGTGAGTCTCTGTGTTTTCAGGAGGAAATTGATCACTTGTGTATTTAGGTTCAAGGAGGTTCAAGGATTTTATTGTCAATTCACTATATGTGCAGGACATACAGACATCGAAATACTTTTTCTCTCTCACTTAGTATTGGGTGCCATAACATTTAGGAACTAAAATAGAATAGAATTTATTTTGTCAACCAGCCACACAAAACCTTAGCAAAGTGCCCACAAACTGACACAATGTCGGGCTTTTCAGAGGCAATAACAGGATAAAACTGTCACATATTTAGTCGCCTAATATTTAAAAAATACTGAGTTTTTTTGGTCACAGGATCAGTATCTTCATAGCTTACAGAGCATAAAATAGGGAGAAGATGTTTTCCATTAACTCCTCAATTCATCAGCTGTGTTGGTGCATCCACAAAGTGTAGAGACTTCAGTATGAATTCATGGAATTCACCCCTGAAATCGCAACTATGGAAAATATCAACAAGGTTAAAAAGGCATCAGTTAAAGGACATGGCTTGTGTAAAACTTTGATGAGAGTGACACATTACAAAAAGTTGTTCAGAGACAACCCATGATGCAGATGTAGTGTTCTCATATAGAAACCCTGTTTCCATTCTGATCTAAGTAGGTATTAACATCACCACCCCTGTGTGACTGTGTTTTCTGCTGGGTGGCATAGAGTTAATGTCTCTGCATGACTGGCTTCTTGGAAATGTCTTTTATCAGGTGACTTGTGTCATTTTGAATAATCTCTTCTATAAGATCTAAAACCTTGTGTGACTCCACTGAAGCTGATCCTCACATGCAGCTTTTTTTTGTCTCAGTAATGCTTTAATTTGCATTGACAGTTAATGTTGAGTCACACAAAACCAAAGTAAAAATTTGAGAAAACAAAGCAACAGACTCCTTCAAATGACTGAAGACATTTTCATGGTCTACACAGATGTTTTTATCCTGCAGCTACAAACATATCTTCTCCTGGTTGCACTAATTCTGGACCTACTGAACCTCATATTATGGATTTTGCTCATTATGCTGTCTCTCTTTTAAGATATGTTCGTTTACTTGGAGCGATGTACATGAGATTAACTGGCACTGCAGTGGATTGTTACAAATATCTGGAGCCTCTGTACAACGACTACAGAAAGATCAAGAGTCAGAACAGAAACGGAGGTGGGTCCTAAAAGTCCCTTCTGTGACTGGGATGTTCAGGATGTGTTTATTATCATTCTAGAACGTTTTATACAGCGGAACAAGATGGGGCACTCAGGCCTCGGTTTGGGTAACAAAACTGTTAATTGCCAGTTGAGATATCAATTACAGCAGCCTTTCTGTTGCAGCAGCCAGTTAAATGACGGTCCTGGTTTCTGGTCTGTCTGTTTACAAATCAGCTAGGATAGAGAAATCAGTAGAATTGGTTACTACTGTGTGTTAGGTGCAGTGTGTCTGTAGGTCATCAAAATAAATCCAACATCCCTAAAAACGGGAAGGTGATAGTCTGGCTTTGAGAAAAAAAGAATGATTCCAGGTAACAGTTTGACTTAATGTTAATTATTCTCTTGTTACAGCCTTAATTATTCTAATCATAGTAATAATACATTTTTATTTATAGAGCATTTTTCAACATGCCCAAAAGACGCTTTATGCAATAACTTAAATCTTAAAGTGTCAGTGTGTGTTCACTTACATACAGCCTTGTTTTTCCAGCGTCTTTAATTTGGTTTATAAACTGTCCTAGGATTACACTTCAGGTGGCATTAAGAAGTTGTCTGATATAGGATGTTAGACCCAGAACAGAGAGTCAATCTGCAGAAAATGAATTAGCAACTTTATTGATAATGGAATAATTTTTAAAATAATTCTTTAGGCAAAAATTGTAAACATTCTCTGGTTTCAGCTTCTTGAATGGGTAAGTCAGTGAAGTGATTAACTTAGACTATGGACTGTTGGTTGGACAAATCAAAACACCTGAAGATGTACTTCGGAGTCTGGGAAATTGCAAACAAACCATGTTTTAAAATTTTTGGATATTATTTAAACCAAACAATTAATTGAGAAAATAATCTGCAGAATAACTGATAATGAAAATCAGCTGCAGATGAAGTTGTTCCAGCTGTTAACGTTTTTATTCTCAAATTTTTTTTTTCTTTGTTTCTGTCTCAAGAGTTTGAGTTGATGCACGTCGACGAGTTCATCGATGATCTCCTGCACGCAGAGAGGATGTGTGACATCATTCTGCCCCGGCTTCAGGTACCTTTACATTGTTCACACAGCCTATCTCACCTGGTCCACACAGCTGATGGCTGTTTCTGTGTGTGTCACAGAAGAGACAGGTCCTGGAGGAGGCCGAGATGCTGGACCCACGGATCAGTGCTCTGGAGGAAGACCTGGATGAAGTGGAGAGCAGTGAGGAGGAAGATGAGGAAGAGGAGAAGGTAATGCCACAGTCAACTTTGTTAATTCACTTCCATGTGGAATTTGACTTATTTACTATAATGAGAGTATTTGGGGGAATTTACCTGCTCAAAAAGAAGCAAGATGAGCATCGTTTGTGCTCACGGCGGCCGGTAATTAAGCCACAGATGGAGGTGGAGTCATTCAGTTGTAAAATGTTGAAGGCGCATGCTTGAAAGTCATCACTTTGACAGGTGAGCAGCGGCAGTTATTCAGAATTTGTGTCTGAGTCGGGGTTGACAGCCGGTTGTCGTCTTGTGGTCCCTCTAACTGGCTTTTCCACCTGCAGCCCGAGAGACTCCAGACCCCTGAACCACACAGACGTAGTTACCGTGATAACGACAGACCTCGCCGTTCTCCATCACCTCGGTACAGGCGCAGCCGCTCTCCCCGACGGTTTGTGGATTCATTATCCTTCAGTTTACTATGAGACCCATTAATGTACATTGTGATAAATGCACCTTTCCACAATGTGTTCTCCTAAATGATGACAAATCCACTGTGGGTTATTTCCTTCCAGGAGGAGCAGATCTCCAAAGAGGCGAAGGTACGTCTGCTTCTGTAGGAAGTGTAATCAGTTTAAAACTAGCAGGCTTGCACGTCTTTCAGATTTTATTTTGAATGTGTTTTGTTGTTTGTATCCAGCCCGTCACCCCGGAGAGAACGCCATCGCAGCAAGAGCCCCCGCCGACATCGCAGCCGGTCTAGAGACAGACGCCACCGCTCCAAATCCCCAGGTGAATAAAGAGAAATGAGCTCAGCCACCTGCTGACCACCACGCTCAGTGATCATATGAACCACCTGTGTGAGCTAGTGGCAGGTTCTGGTCAGATGTGCTCACAGTGGACAGGGAACTGGGAGAACAGCACAACGCTGTGGTCATAGAGGCACTCTGCTGACCACATAGTGTACCTACAACGACTCAACCACGGCACATTACTGTGCATGAAAGGACACAGCTTTCACTCTGTTTCCTTGTTAAACAGTCAGAAGGTGGCAGTGTACCTGTTAGGTGGAATCTATAAATATGCACATCTTATAGGAAATACAAGAAGATTGTTGAGGGGTAAAGGTCTCCATAGGACCTTTATGTGAGGTCAGAAGTGAAAGAGGAAATCTAGTTTCTGCAAAGACATTGAACATATATTTAAAAAGTTTCTCGCAGTCTTTGGTTTGATTTGATATGTTGTTCTTATCACAGGCGTTTGCAGAAAGTGACATGAACCCAATGTGGAGACAGATTTCAGTTTTTTTGTTGTTTTTGTGTTGTGAAGTCCGGTTTATTTTTTTCTTCAAAGTTATTTTTTAATTCAGAGTTTATTTTGATTTCACTGACCAAGGTTGTTTTTTTTTGACACAGCAAATAAAAAATTCTTTTAGCAAATATGCAGGAGAGAAAACTGTCTCTGTATTATATTGTATTTGGTGCTGGCTATTTGGTGCTTATTCTAAATCTTTCTCATTGTTGTGGACCAGGTCACCACAGAAGCCACAGACATCGCAGCCACTCAAAGTCCCCAGAGAGGTGAGAGCTCACATTCAGCTGCAAGTGTCAAGAACAGAACCTCTGCTCAGATATTTGGACCAGTTTCCCCAGTGCTATGCAGTGTGTCTGTAAGGCAGGCATCCTCCTCTGGTAGTAGTCCAATACAGTACCAGAGCTTCAGTGCCGATTTCACCACAAAGCTTTTTTGGCAGCTCTTGATTCTGTCATGTGTCAATGATGTGCACAGTTTTCATAGGTGTTCACATCTACATTTTTTCTTTACTCCTTAAGGACTTCCATCGACATTGACATAAAGTTTGAAAGTAAATGATTCTTAGCTGGCAAGACTGTGTCATGTTAAGGTCAGTGGAGCAGCTGATCTGGAGCTTTCAGTTGTCCCACATGATCTTCTTCAGCAGATGAATGAAACCGTTTTGAGGAGCTCTGCTAATGTGAAATATTTGGAAATGAGCATGATCTATTAAGTTCCAGTTTGCAGACATCTGTAGTGTTATTGTTGATTCATTCAAAATCATATTGTTGTTCTGTCTCATCACAGGAGTTCAAAAAAGAGCCACAAGAAGAGTCGAAGAGGAAACGAGTGGGCTTCCAAATGTGCATCAGTAAGGTAAGTTTGTTTTTTTACCTCCAAACTGTCAGAAATCTTGACTCAATCTTTTTTGTATGGAAAGTAGTTCCATTTTTTGATACTGGCCCACTAACCTGTCTGTAACACGGCGCAGCTGCAGTGTGAAGCCCTCGGGTCTCAGCAGTGGGTAAATACAGTTTGTAACCACTGAAAACCTTTTAACCTCGGCCTGTGGTTCAAACTCCCTGGAAGAGAAAAGTTCTGTGATACTCCCAGTTTTCACATAGTTATGGCCATTACTGGTAACTTTTGGACATGTGTATATAGAGAAGACGTGTCTCTTGTAAACAGTTTCTGTATGTGAACGAGTTTTACAAACTGATCTGATAATGGAAATAAAGACCCTGATTCATCAGTCCTGTGGGTTCAGAAGTTTGACTCTTGAGGATGACGAGGACCCCCAGCTCGTGTCTGATGCTCTTGGGAGGTTAGTTGTAAGGAACCTTTTCATGACCGAGCCACAGTTGGACATGCAGAAGGGTTAGATTAATCTTTGGGAAAGATATGGTTAGACCTTTACGGGCTTAATGAAGTTTTCGGTAATAGAGAGTGTTTCTTTCGAGGAAATTCCACTTAACCTCGTTTAGTACTAAATTTAAGTTATTTCCTGCGCACTTATTAGAACATAATAAACCTCAGGGCTTTTGGAAAACAAAATGACAAACTTTGCCCAAAGGTTTGGCTTTTCTCAAACTTTGGCAGTAGCTCTCAGAAGGCGTCTTCAGCTCCTGTGTGAAGTTCTGTGTAGAGTAACCACCAAAACAAAATTGTTCATTATGTGTATATTTATTAGCACTGTGTGCAGCTGAGACTCAGTGTAGCATACTGTATTTTCTATGCCCACTGTGTCTTCTAGTCATGATTCAGGTTATGCATCAAATGAACATACAGTATTACCAATCTTAATTTTTTCACTACAAAGCTTTTAGCAAAGCAAATGTTATAAAGTCTGTTTTGTTCTTAATTTCAAATACAGTTTTGAGTCATGTAATGTTCAGGATTTAAAGGCAGTTTATGTGGTATTTCCCTTCCAGACTTGTGAACAGTCAGTTGGTTTCCAGATGTAGCTACTGTCCGTCTTCACATAACTGGTGTGATTCATAAATCGTTCTGTTCCCAGTGCTTCCTCCAGGACGCGGAGAGTGATGAAAGTGATAAATCTGACCTCCAGTCAGTGTCTCTCTCCCAGGTAGCATCCTGTGGGAAAACAAACTGCTCCTAACTTCAACCTGAACCATCTGGCTTGCTTCTGCAGAAATAATAAGGCTCCTCGTTATTTTTATACACATCATGAAGTGTTAGTATAGTTTAACAACTAGAGCGACTGCAGCCACATGGGGTCCTGTCATTGTGATTGTATTTTGACACAAAATGAGTTTTGTAGATTTTCCACTATGCCTACAGTGCATATTATCTAAAGTATGATGCTGCTGTTAGTAAAATGATGTAAAATAGCATTACGTTAAGAATGTAAAAATCAGCTTGCACCTGCCTTGAGAGGATCAATCTGGCCGTTTCCCTCCCAGAGGTCAGTGCAAAGCTGTGTGTCAGTGTTCATGACGGTTTGCACAGATTTATTTCACCCTTGCAAGTGAATGCTCAGATTGCTGCCATTCCTTTGAAAATAACTGCTTTTGCTGTTTGACTTTCTGCTATGGCCGATATGTATTTAGAGATGTATGTCTGCCCCAACTGAGGGGCATCTGATGTTAAAACTGGTGAAGTTGAATCCTTCACCTTTAGTCACTATGAAGCACTGTTTGACCTTGCAAAAGCACTTTCTGTAGAGCTGACATGGTGACATCAGATTCAGCCGATCCGTGTGTGAGGATTCAGGTGCAGGGGTGAAGTGAATCTGTGCTTGTTTTTCACATCAAACAGGCCCAAACCTCCCGTCATGCTGGGTTCAGACAGTGTCTCACTTCCATTTTAACATTTTAAAACTTAAATTTTTTCCACGTTTTCCTAATATGTTTCAGAGTACTGAGTATGTATGGATTTTTAGCCTGCTTTCTCTGGAAACCCAGGCTGTGTGCTGCACTATGGTTCTTGAAGGTTATCCAGAAACGCCTTTATTTCGCTATACATTTGGTGCCAGCCTCTCTCTTGAATCTTTTGCAGAATTTTGATGCTGTTCTGTCGATAGAAGGTCTGATATGGCATCTCTGCTGCCTTCATGTGATATTTTATTGACCTTTGGCGGTCCTGTCGATCAAAGTGTAAATATTTAGCGTAGTTGTTGTAAAGCAGCTGTCTGTCTGCAGGTTCCAGAACAGTTTGCAGCATTTCCTGGTAGATCCGATCAGCTTCAACCATGCCGCTGTACGACTTTGCATACATACTTGCAAGGTCTGATTTCTTCAGAAGTGCAGAATGAGGATAGAGAGAAATCACCTCCTTATGCAGACTGATTGCTCTGTCTGTCATGCTTTGCTTTAGGTGACTGTCCCTGAAAAAAAGGACCTTCCATTTGTAGCAGAGTGCAGCACATCTCTTCAGAAAGCGTTCATCTGGATGGTTTCCCAGAGCCTCCTCGGCCAATTCAGTAGCCTCATCAATAGTGTCAGGCTGTCTGTAAAGCCTGAGCAATGGTTTGATACCACTGTAACTGCTGACAGGATTTCTCAGAACCTTTCTGGCTAACTCATGTGCTTCATCTGCAGTTTCTTCCCCTTTCTTTGCCCGCTGGTCGAGGTACAGAACAGCCAGGTACAGGTTCTCTGGATCCTGTTCCTTGGCAATTCTCATTTTCTCAAACAGGTCGGGGTCCAGCTCTGTGTTGCTGTGATTTAAAGCATTCACTGACCCTATGATGTAGCTGGTCTGCCACTCCACCATGTCTGGCTGCATCCTGATGGCTCTCTGGAAGTAATCTGCAGCCAGCAGCTTCTGGTCTGCCTCGAACTTCATCAGGGTCCAGGCCTTTTCAGCGTAGACCTCTGGGTGCAGCTCGTCCTGCGATGGAGATGGGTATTTATTCAGCAGGGCGTCAACCTTTGACAGGTAAGCTTGGCTCTCTGCTTCTTCTCCCAGGTGGTGGTGCAGCCAAGCCTGGTTCCCGTAGTTCACCACCAACCAAGGACCCTCATCTGCTTTTCTTGTCTGCTGAAAGGCCTCTGCAACCCTGCTGAAGAGTCTCCGGGCTTCATTGATGAACCCCAGCTGGTAGTGGATGTACCCCAGCAGGTTGTAAATGTGACCCAGCCAATAGTTTGCCTCGTCGTCGCCGATGTCCTCCAGCTTGTCCCTGAGACAGAAAAGTTTGGACCTGCTGGGCTGGTCTGCCACTCCACCATGTCTGGCTGCATCCTGATGGCTCTCTGGAAGTAATCTGCAGCCAGCAGCTTCTGGTCTGCCTCGAACTTCATCAGGGTCCAGGCCTTTTCAGCGTAGACCTCTGGGTGCAGCTCATCCTGCGATGGAGATGGGTATTTATTCAGCAGGGCGTCAACCTTTGCCAGGTAAGCTTGGCTCTCTGCTTCTTCTCCCAGGTGGTGGTGCAGCCAAGCCTGGTTCCCGTAGTTCACCACCAACCAAGGACCCTCATCTGCTTTTCTTGTCTGCTGAAAGGCCTCTGCAACCCTGCTGAAGAGTCTCCGAGCTTCATCGATGAACCCCAGCTGGTAGTGGATGTACCCCTGCAGGTTGTAAATGTGACCCAGCCAATAGTTTGCCTCGTCGTCGCCGATGTCCTCCAGCTTGTCCCTGAGACGGAAAAGTTTGGACCTGCTGGGGTCCAGATCCCAGGTGAAGTGGCACTGCAGAGCCTGCAGTGTGGACTGTGGTGTCTGACTCTTGGCAGCACTAATAGTAAAACACATAATGAGTAGGTCAGTTATGTTCTGCCCTTGAGGCTTGTTATGCTTGGATAAAGACTTCAGTTCATGTGGATGGAGGAAAGAGTAAAAGGGAGGAATTATCTGAATTTAGCTGACTAACTTGGCAGCACTGAATAGACAGGAAGGAAACAAGGAAGTAATTGAGGAATAAGCATTGAGGCAGCAAGGAAAGGAGGAGTGGAGATGCCTGGACGTATGATGTTAATTTTGCCTGTGATCCTTTGAATAAACCAGCACGGTTATATTTTTTATATATCCAAGTGGTCTGCGTCGTCCCTCTGAGTTCCTGGTTGAAAGAACTGGGCTAAATCTTACAAACCCTCGATTTGACAGACAAAATAGTAGGAATCGTAAGAAGGGACGTGAAGCAAAAGAAAAGGAAGTAGGTTAATGGAGACAGCAGCACCGAATGATAATAAAACACCATCACTGACTTGTAGGATCCATAATGTTAGTATTCTGGCCATTACACCGCTCGTTGTTCAGTCACAGTGAAATGAAAGGTTCGGGCAGCTGCTCACCTCATCACTCTGCTGTCTCAGGCCCAGTGGGTCCTATGTTCTGCTCGTGATGCTGATTTGGGGTTTTACGGGGACAAAATCAGTATTGTCCAGCTTCTGCTTTGCTGTATAATGATGTGATGCTGTGCTGTGGGTGTTCAAATGAAAGTGAGAGACTTTTAAAGGCGGGTCATTTGCGGTAAAACGCAATAGAGTCGCGAAAAGACGTGAGTTCGCTGCAGCGCCGCGCGAACTGAGGCGAAGACGCGTCGGTGCGAACTAAAGAAGTTGAGGGAACTCCGCTTCGTGGATCCTAGGAAAGACCGAATAGAAAATATCATAAACACTGCGAGAGAACAACAGAAAACGTGACTTCCTAATGATTTATGAACCCCGCGATAAAGTTCGCTCGAAGAGAGCGAGGCGAGGACGCGCCTTGCGCCGAATCTTAATGCGCCTTGACTTTCGTTTCCTAGCGATATAAACCAGAGGGCACAGTGCTGGGTCAGTTGCTGCAACAAAACGAAAATCAGGAGCCAACGACCTCCCATAAAGGTTTTAGTAAGTTCAGTTAAACTTGGAAATTGATGCCACAGCGAGTGATATACTGAAACCTCATTTGAAGAAACCTCTGCAGTGGTGTAGCGCATGAATCTGAGCCTGTAGACATTTTAATATTACTCATACACATGAATTAGCGAGTACTGTAAAGGGTTATTATCAGGAACTGATTACATCACCAGTTGAGAAAAACTGACCTACAAAAAGAGACACTGCGTTTTGTCTCCTTTTGGGGGATTTATGACTCTTTGCATCTTATCATTATGTGTCTATGCATGGTCATCTTGTGACATGTCTGGTCATTTTACATGTCTTAATAGCTTGGTGTCTAAATCAAGTGGGCTTCTTCTGCAAGTGTATGGGGTGCTCTCCAGCCACGCTCAGCAGCTGATGGAACAGAGAGAACTCAGAAACTGCACCTCCGGAGTAGAGCCAACACAGCAGAGTTTAGAGCCAAGACGAGGTGACGCCTTTGAATTCATTCAGTTTATAAGGACAGCATTTTTTAAAGGTGAAAAGTAAAAAAACCCAGCTTATTATTTAAATAGTAAAATACAAAGGTTTCAAACCTGCACTGAAATAAGGATGGTTTTAGTGTTTGTATGAACAGCTGTTTAACAGTGTTTACATGTTGCCACCCTGTTAATCCAGCAGCAGGTAGAGAGCCTGAACTGGACTGAAGAAAAGATCAATGCGTCCACTTGTTCATTTGTTTAGCAGAGTTGGATTTCTTTAATAGATGGTAAAGGCCTGGACTCCTGCAGTTTGTTACATTAATTTAAATGGACTGTATCTATTCAGCGACTCGCCCTACAGCTGTTCCTGTGCAACTGCACCACCTCAGACACCCAGTTAAGGCAAAACACTAGCCCTTTACAGTTATTTCTTGTGAGCTCTTGGCTTGCAGCATGAATTTGTGTATCCTCTTTTCTAACTCCATATATTCCTCCACAGTGTTCACTGCACACTTTTTATAAATCAGAAGTGAGAAGATGAGTAGAGAACAAACATGGGAGATGGTTGTAGTGTCAGATCAGTGATAGTTGCACTGCTTTTTGGAGACATTACAGGTTGTGTGTTTATCTTGCTAAATCAGTGTAGAGACAGCGAGTTCAGTTCTAAACACATACAGGGTTAAGGAAGCCAGCGCTTCTCCACACTACAGAGAACAAGACCAAATGAGTCGACTCGCATCATAAGAGGATTTTTTTCCTTCCCCTTCTTCTCAGTGTGTGAAGGAATCCAAACTTTCAAGTTATTGGTAGTTTGGACAGTTGTTCAGTCTGTCTTTAAATTTGTATATTGAGGGAGAGGTGCAGGTACCTAGAGAAATAAGGAGGAGTTGAGGCAAATACAGGCTGGAACATGGACCCTACTGAGCTGGAGCTGTGTGCCGTGGTCATGCAGTTTCCAAAACCAGACAAGGATCCCTCTGGCTTTGTGAATCAGCTGACGTGGTATGCCACTTTGATCCTAAGAGATGCTGTACAATTGATGTTGACATGTTTAAGGGGTAGATTTGGTGAGACAGAGCCAGCTGTGACTATCACAGTTCAAGATGAGAGTACACAGAGTAGGCCTGACTGGACAAAGACGTATAAAACTCAGTTAATGCAATGTGTTAAGCTGGGAATAGTGAAGGGGCAAGAAGCTGCACACCTCTCACTTCCGCTCATCTGTATTTGAGCTGTACATTTTTAGACTAACAAACCTACTTTGTTGTTGTTGTTGTTGTCCTCGCTGAGCACACCTAGTTTCCGGACCACAATTCTAATGACTAGATCTTTCTTTTCCTCCTCCTTTCTAAATTGACTGTAGTGTTGCACAGCACCCTAGTCGAGGACAGTGGGCGGCAGACATGCTTTGATATTTGATAACTTAGAGAAAAAGTATATTGTACCTCCATGGTTAAGTTGCAGTTTACCAAGCTGTTTCCTGTCCCACCAGAGAAGCTGCTGTGGGATGCAGGGACCCAGAAGTTGTGTTGAGCTGTGAAGAAGCTGAAGACCACGCTGTTCCAGACCCTCATCAATGATGACACCTCTGCACCACATGTTGTTCTCGGAGACATTGGGTATCAACTTCTGTCCGCTTCATTAAATCTTCACTTTCTTTGTACTTATGACTGACTTTTTTTTTTTTTTGGACTCTGATGCCCAGCCTTAGGAAACTGAATTTGGAGAGAACAACCTGGTGATGCAAACAGGACCGTAACTGATCCATCAGAGACGAGGATGCTGGCTATGGATGCCTGCGCCAACCCTGAGTTGAGACTGAGCTCTTAAAGGGACTCTATCAGCAGTTGGAAGGTCGGTCAGCTTTACCTGAGTCCACCACCGCCTTGGATGCGATGACTGTGTAGCAGATGAATATGCAGTGTGAACATTCTCAAAACCTTACAGTGCGTATTATTTTATTTTTGGGGGTTAATGCCCACTTCTATTGTTGAGATGTCCATGTAATGCATTCAGTTCTTTGTTTCTTGTCATATTGTTCAATATTTTTGCATAGATGTGTTGCCTTGAATGGTTTTGTTGGTCAGGAGCTTTTATTTTGAAGGCCATTGCCCCGTTATTTTGTTTCCTGTTTCTGCGCGGCCCTCCTCAGTTACTGTGGAAAGCTGAGGAGAGGTGGGTTATATACTCTGCTCCTGTAATTTTAAGTGTTTTATTTCCATAAAAAGAAAAAGCACTTTACCGTTCAGACTGTTATGGCACAGAGTTATAAGCCACTGTTTTCTGTTGCATAGTTGCTAACGATGTGAAAATTGTTCTTTCCTGTGTGACGTACACAACTTTATTAATGTGCTAACTAGGCATAGTTGCAATGTTTCAGCTAGGTTGAAGCACATTGAAGGTCTCACGTGGAGTCTGTTGTTGCCTTTTTCTGCCCTTCAGATGTGAATAGAGAGACCTGACAGGTGGATGTACTGACTTAGTTGTGTTTCACACAGGTAATAAGAGTGTTTTATTTGTATTATTATTTTGATTTCTTTAGCACACGCTCAGTTACTGTGGAAAGCTGAGAGACCTGACAGGTGGATATACTGATTTAGTTGTGTTTCACACAGAGAATAAACTCTCCTGTGGATGGCAAACCCCTGTCTACGATTCGTCACTAAAGACACAACGCAGAGATTTAACTTGATGGCCGCGTAGAGATGAGACCGGCTACAACTGCAGCAACTGAACTGTAACCGATCCCCTGGAGTTGGACTTTTTTTTTTAAGTTGTCAGTGTTTCTTGACTCTTTGAAGACTTGGTTTGGATTTTGGAACTTTGCCACAGAGTTGCACAAGGCTGGGTCATTTTCCCATCATTAAATGGTGGAAGTACCAGGGCAGGCTCAGTGGTTACATTAGTGAGAGATTCTCCATACCCATAGTTGTGCTTTGACATGTTATAAGCTCGTCTTGATAAGTGTAGTTGTTTTCAAAATCATCACCACCCAAATTTTGATTACTTTATTTAAATTTAGGGATAGCTTTCTGAGTTGTCTCGCTGTGCCAAGTTTTTTTCCTTCATGATCTGTTGGTAGGCAAATCAAACTGGGGCTGATTGAATGTCAAATTAGTCATTGTGAAATGTAGAATGCAGAGAAATGTATAATACAGGGCCAGACCTTTAACATGATGTTCTTAATGCATGCTGAAATATTGTCCAAGATTAATATCCATACATTTTTACATTTACCAGTAGTTGTTTTAAGAAAAATAGTTGTGATTTCAGGGGCCTGTGCCCCAGTAGAGAACACCCCTGCCTCATTCCAAAGATAAGGCACACAGGTTTTCTCAAATATTGGTAGGGACATTTCTGTCCTCCCAAATTTCTGTGCCTACCGTCCATAGGAAAAACTACGCCCTTGGTCTGTGGTCATTTTGTACGTGTTAACTGAGCTCTATGACTTTCAAACAAGACATTTTAGCAGACCTACATGGGCTCGGGCCCCTGGGCCTTTGCCGGAGCCCCCTTTGGTTATCTGCACACCTGCATTTATGACGCTCTGCTACCACCGTCTAAACACATACATAAAACTTATAATTTAATTTTTTTCTTATACCGTTACGCAGCTGTAAGTAAGTGTTTAAACGTTTAATCTTAACTAATGTTTTTTTTGCCGTCGAAATTTCCGTACCATTCACTACCCAACTTACGTTGATAAACCGCGCACTTTACATAAATTGCTTAGGAGATGACGTTTGAAACAGAAAAGGCCAGATTTCGTTATATGCATAAAACATTTTTGTTTTAAAATTTTTTGTAATAACATTTTAAAATCTACATTAATTCAAGCGTTTTTGATTCAAAAAGTAAAGCAACAAAAAAATTTTTTAGACGGAGCTTCATTGTGACCAGTGCTATTTTTAGAACATGCCTCGCAGGCACCTCAAGTGGTCCTTGCGGGCGTCCGTGTGCCCGCGGGCACCGCATTGGTGACTCTTGTTCTAGATTATTCATCTAACCCTCGTGCTGTGAGATGTGCTGCCTAAGGAAGTCCCCTGGCTGGGAGCTGAACTTTGGCTGCTGTGGCTTTGTGGGATGCACAGCACTAAGGTGCCCCCACTGAAAACTGAATACACAGTACAGCATGTGGTCAGCACTGTACGATTACAGCCATAGTAGTGATGGCTGAAAATGTCATAACAACCTCCAGCTCTTCATTATGCTGAATGGCTCATGTCAGTACTAACTTTATTTTAATTACTTTACATACAGTACTGCACTGCTGGGAAGTTTGTGAATTTCCCCTCGAGGTCAGCTATATTAGCTTGTATTATTATTAGCTTATAATAAGGATATATTATAAGTTGTGGGTCGTTTATCAGGTACACCTACTTCAGTCTAACACAGCCTAATCCATCAGCTGTAAATCCTTTTTCATGAAGGTGATAATGTTCATTTTGTGTTGAAAACCATTTTCGAAACCAGGGAGGAACAATCTGATCAACTGGAACTGAACTAGAGATGTTGCAATCAGGGTATATCTGTCTTTACCAGCAGCCACCAGTGTGGTTCACCTTCTGGCTTTTGTAACTCTAGTCAAGACTGTGGAGACTCTGACTAACATCTAACACGGTTACATGCACAACGTTAATTTCTACTAATGTTAGCTAACAGACGCTAACCTGTGTCTGCGTTTATCACTCTTCACATCCATAACATTTTCTGTGTTTTTACAAACGCCAGACAGTAAAGTAACACACGAGTCTTTTTACTCACCTTTTCCTCTTCCATTAATGAAATTGCTTCTTTTCCTCGACCACGCAAAAATTCACTTAAATCCGACATTTTCTGGGCAGCACGTAGCTCCTCTCCAGCATGACTCAAAGGCACTCACTGAACTTGGATCCCTGCAGGTACCCATACTTCTGAGATTAAAGTCAGAATACTGAGATTAAAGTCAGAATACTGAGAATAAAGTCAGAAAAAAAAAAAAAAAAAAAATTTATGCAGTGGCCCTAATACTCTTCCGTACCATCTTCCGTACCGGGCAGGCTCAGTGGTTACATTAGTGAGAGATCCTCCATACCCATAGTTGTGCTTTGACATGTTACAAGCTCGTCTTGATAAGTGTAGTTGTGCTGTTTTCAAAATCATCACCACCCAAATTTTGATTATTTAAATTTAGGGATAGCTTTGAGTTGTCTCGCTGTGCCAAGTTTTTTTCCTTCATGATCTGTTGGTAGGCAAATCAAACTGGGGCTGATTGAATGTCAAATTAGTCATTGTGAAATGTAGAAGAATGCAGAGAAATGTATAATACAGGGCCAGACCTTTAACATGATGTTCTTAATGCATGCTGAAATATTGTCCAAGATTAATATCCATACTTTTTTACATGTACCAGTAGTTGTTTTAAGAAAAATAGTTGTGATTTCAGGGGCCTGTGCCCCAGTAGAGAACACCCCTGCCTCATCCCAAAGATAAGGCACGCAGGTTGGAGTAGCGGGCTGTGTTGTACCATCCAACTGGTCACTCACATAGCACTGTCTCTGATAATGTCCATGAATTCCAGGTCGAAAAGATGAATCCAGTCTTGGGAGTAAGCCGAGTTAGCTATACTACCGATACCAACATTCATTTAGCTAACGAATGCTAACACGTTAGCTAGGTATGCTACTACGCTAGTGTAACCTCCACCTAAATCCTGGTTGGATAGGTACAGTTAGATATTCTAAGGAATGTCAAATTTGGACCAGTACCAGAAGAGACCAGATTTCGCAAGGAGCCAGGGAGGAATGTCAATAAAGAGCAACACAATAGTTAGATTTGTAAAACTCAAAATGTATTAACAAAATTTTACTAATGTACAACAATACAACACTTAAAACAAATGCAATAAAGTAAAATGTGCACTAAATCATTGAACAGAATAAACAAAAGGGAAAAAACAAAACCCCACCCTCCAAATGAATGTCAGATCGTTGGGGCCCTTTAAACTGGAGTTAGGGATCCTACCAGCTCCGCAGTGAACCGGATCACAAAAGTCCTTCTCCTAATCAGTTC